TGCAACAGCGCAGTCATGGCTCACTGCAGCCTCGAACTCCAGGGCTCATGTGACCCTCCCTGCTCAGCCTCCCGAGTAGCTGGGACCACAGGTGCACCACCATGTCCAGCACATTTTTAAAAATTATTTGTAGAGATGGGTTCTCCCTATGTTGCCCAAGCTAGTCCAGAACTCCCGGGCTCAAGTGATCCCCTCACCTTGGCCTCCCAAAGTGCTGGGATTACGGGCGTGAGCCAGCGTGCCCAACCCTGTGGTCTTTTATGACTGTTTATTTTTCCCACTTTTTCATCCCTGTCAGCAATGTATAAGGGTTGTGATTTCTCTGCTTCCTCACCAAAGCTTGTTATGGTTGGTGTCTTTGATCGTAGCCATCTTTGGGGGTGTGTGTAGTGGGATCTCCTTGTGGTTTTGATTTGCATTTCCTTGATGGTTAATGTTTCCGGGTTTTTTTAAGGCAATCCCCTTCGTGTCCAGGGGCAGATAGATCCTGGGACACCCTATTCCCAATGTAGAAACACTAACTTGTCCCAAAGAAAGAAAAAAATCCTAATGGAAAAAGATGTTCATTACTGTAACATGGCATTCCTTACTACAAGGGGCTCTTCTATAAACTGAGTGAACTGTTTACCTGTTTGGGGGCATTGGGTAGTTCCTAATTTTCTTTTATTTTCCTTAATAATTATAAAGACTGGGACACATGTGGTGACTCATGTCTGTAATCCCAGCACTTTGGGAGGCCGAGGTGGACGGATCAATTGAGGTCAGGAGTTTGAGACCAGCCTGGCCAGCATGGTGAAACCCCATCTCTACTAAAAATACAAAAATCAGCCTGGCGTGCAGGTGCATGTCTGTAATCCCAGCTACTCAGAAAGGCTGAAGCAGGAGAATCACTTGAACTCGGGAGGCGGAGGCTGCAGTGAGCTGAGATCGTGCCACTGCACGTCAGCCTGGGAGACAGAGCCAGACTCCATCTCAAATAATACTAATAATAACTACAAAGACCAGCTATCATATGGAAAATGTGCAGGATGTGTGGACAAACACAGGATGGAAAAATACTCAGTGTGTCATTTTAGCTAATATATATTCATTAAAAAATCCAAATTTTTTTCCCAGCACTGTGCTGTGTGCCAAGCTCCGTGCTAGCTCATGGACAAAGGCAGGAAAATAAAGCAAAACCAAACTTCCCCTTGTGTTGGGAGTGCTGGGGTTCTGGGGGACAGGCATTCCCTGCTTCCCCACGTCTCTTTCCCAAACTTGCTCTACTGTTGTTATATTGCCTTTGCTGTGATAAAACCAAGAGAACAGAAGAAACACTTACGGACTTAAGAATGACGGGAGAAACGTTTCTTGTGCCAGTCCCTCTCAGTGTTATTGTTTTGTGGAATCTGCACGCAGCCCCGGGAGACTCAATAAAAAGAGCTACCATCATGGCACTTACTGTGTGCCTGGCCGGTTCCACCTATTTGATGCCATTGCTGTCCCCATTTTACAGACCAGGAAACTGAGGCGGGGCGAGGAGTTACTCTTCTACTTGGTGGTCCATTCTTTGGTGTTACCCACACAGAGCTACACATAAGCTCATGTTCACACTTGGATTCACATCCGCACAAATGGGCACACAGAGGATCGCACAAGCCACACTCAGACACACGTGTGTTCCCACACGGGGCTGCCCGTATCCACAGGTATGTGCCTGGGACACCCATGTACACATGTGCATATTCCCATATGCACACAGCACACGTCAAACACTTTTGGACACACATCTGCCTGAGAGTGGGAAAAGGGGTGCAGATAAAGGGGCAAAGTCTGGCTTTTGCCTCCTCTACACCTGCTACCAGGTGTGTGCAGGACTGGGCAGGGCACAGACAGGTGGCTCCGGGCTCAAAGGGCAGAGCTGGCCTTGCACTAGAAACCCACCTGCCAAACTTCCAAATGGGCTACAGTGACTAAGGGGCCTCGCCTGCAGGGCAAACCCCCCAGCTGGAGGGCATGCTTCAGATTATCCAGGGGTCCCCAGGGGGTTGAGAAGACACGGGGCACACTCAGGGAGGAAGCATGGCCATACTAGCTAAGAGTGCAGTCTTTCTGCAGGCCACCTGCATCCGAGGCCTGGAAAATAAGACGGCGTTACAAAGAGGGTGTGGGAATGTGAGGCGCAGGAGACACAAGCATTCGTAGAGAGGCCTTCCTCAGGACCTGACGTCCGGTGATCCTGGCCCTGCGTTCCACTAGTTAGGTGACATTGAACAAGTCACACAACGTCTTTGAATCTCAATTTCCTCGTTTGCAAACTTTGCACAAATCATTTCTTTAGGCGCTAAACGAGTATGTTTTGAGGACCTACGACATGCCAGGTGTGGTGCTGGGCACTGGGAATACAGTGGCAATCCGCGCAGACGTGGCCTGGCCTGTGTAGCTCCTGCAGACTTTGGGAAAAGACCAATGGAAACACCCCGCACACAGTAGGTGCTCAGTCAGCACTCCTCCTGACCTCCCTTTTCTACCATCATAAAGGAGATGCAACAACATTAGAGAAAGTTTGGAGAATGGGGGGGCGGGTGCTGACACGGGGAACCCTGTCATCCAGAATCCCACCACCCCAACACAACTAGCTTCATTTTTGCCAATTCCATCAGCTCACACAGGTGTTGGCCTGCTGTAGGGCACTCAATAAAACATTCAGACCAATTAATGCATTGCACCTGTGATCAGAAGAAAACGCGAATTACAGTGTAACAGATTTACTTGATGAAAAGCAACACAAGCATGGCCATCCCTCTGCATATACGGAAGCTTTTCCTTTTGGGGGAAACAGCAATACTTCCATTTCATGGAAAAAGAAATGGAGGCAGAGAGAGGTCAAGGCACTTGCCCAAGGTCACACAGACAGAAATGTGAAGAGCAGCTCCAGAGGCCAGAACTCCGGCCCACCCTGTCCGGGACTGTGGGATGCAGCCAAAGGCGGACACTGGGGCTTTGGGCTGGGTGAGCTAGCTGCCTTTCCATTGACTGGAGCTGTTTAGGGAGCCTACCCCTGCCACTAACATCCAGTCCTAGGGACACAGGAAATGAACAAGGCTCTTCACTGACCAGCCTCACTTTTGAGCCCAGAACCCCCTTACCTTCCTCCTGCCGCTTGGGAGGCCTGTGTTAGGCGTTAGCCTGGGTGCAAAGCTCTGGAAGGCAGGTTTGTGCTTTCTGCTGCCCTCCAGTGGACAAAGAAAGCAAACCTCTGGCTCCATCGGGAAGCGGGTAGCCAGTGTTGCCCGTGTCAGCTGCTGTCAGCTGCGGCTAACAGTAAGAATAACACTGGCTGCCGCTCAATGAGCACTTACCCTGTGCAGGCATTTTTGCACCTAATCTAATGTCACCCCTTTAAACAATTAAATTAACATTTCATTCCTCTCTCAAGGTAGGAATCACTTCCTATATATATCACTTTACGTACATAATCTGAGACTTGGAAAAATGACTTCCCAAAGTCACAAAGCTGGTCAGTGGCAGAGCTGAGAGGAGGAAGAGGCCACGATCCTGGACGGCCCGGCACGGTTGGGCACAGAGGTGAATTTACTGTGAGGCCAGCAATGCCTTAGGGCTCTTCGCTTGCACGTCCTCTCCCAGGGCCGTGGAGGAACTCTCCAACGCATGCACATGGGCATATGGTTTACAACATTTGCAAAACTAAGACATTTTGTTTGCAATTGGCTAAGACCACTGTCTCTCTCCACTGCCTATAATAATGTCTTCACATAGTAGGTAATAAACGTGTTAGTAAATACACTTTGTCTTTAATAAACCATGTTGACTGGATGAGTAGAGAAATGAAGGAAGGGAGTGGCATTTAGTTCAGTCTTGAAGGAAGGGCAGGATTGGAGGGAGTGTTTCTCACGTAGCCTAGTGGACCCCTCCACACACAGACCATTCAATGCCACGAGTAGCCTTGAATGCCAAGGTGAGGAATCTGGGCTTACATGGAAGGCACTGGGGGGCTATGGAAGGTTGCAGAGCAGAGGGAGGATTTGAATGTAATTATCAATTAGGCAAGAGTTGAATGTCAGATAAGAGGACAGAGCCCTACAGCGGGGGGCCAGAGTGGCTCAGATAAAACTCCCCTTCTCCAGTACTACATAGAGAGCTGGTGCTCAGCTGATGTGATCACAGAGGCCTCTGGTAGGGTGTCTATAAGCTCCTGGGAAGAAGATATACAGATGCTTTGTGTGTGTGTGGCTTAAATTGTGTGTGGCTTTGTGTGTGTGTGGATTGTGTGTGGCTTTGTGTGTGTGTGTGTGTGTGTGTGTGTATGTGTTTGGGGGGGTTGAGTGTGGATTTGCTCAACACTCTAGTGTACCCAGCCAGATGCAGGAGAGAGGTCAAAGCCCTGCCTGGTGTGGGCACAGAGTTCTCAGCATTGCAGTATGACCGGCCTCTGGCTGGAAAGTGAGGTCGCCAAGAGGAAACAGGTTGGCGAGGCAGGAGTGGACCTACGAGATTCCAGCTGCACCAGCCGCTTCTTTTGCTAGGCTCCCATCATCCTTTCTCTCTTCCTGCTGGGTCTTCCTGAGTGTCACGAATTCCAGCTACTATTTATTTAGCACTTGTCTGTGTCACGCACACTCTGTAAGCACCTTCATGCCCCATCACCGGATTATTCGTCCAACAACCCCGTGAGTGAGAAGAATGGCTATTATTTCGATTTTATAGATGAGGAGGTGGAAAGCCCAGTGAGGTAAAGTTGCTTACCCGAGGTCACATAGCAGTAAATGGTATATGTGAGATCAAACCCAGACTCCAGAGGCAGCCCCCTCAATCTCCAGCCGCCCTGCCTCTTCACCTGGTCCAAGCTGGGGAGGAAAAATCCAGCTTGGCCAGCAGGGGGAGGTGTGCCCTCAAAAATAAGCACTGCTTCCCAGAACTCAGGCCTGCAGAATTTGCCCAGCATAACAACATGATTCTGAACTATCTGGCTTTGCGCCCTCATTTAGTCTCAGCTCTGGTGGGACCTGGGGAACAAGGAGAGGGGTGCAGAGAAGTATAAAATAGCCCTCAAAGAGGTGAGCCAATGGTTCACACACACACAAAAATGTGCAGTGGCTTTTTAACGATAAAAAATGCTCATCTTCACTCCTAGGAAGAGAAACACCTGCTAAATCCACACCACCTGAGCAGGGACTGTTTTACTTTCAAATTGGCAAAGTTATGCAGGTGTGGATATGGAGAGCCACTCCTCCATACATTGTTGGTGGGATTGAAACTTGGCTTTGGCCAGGCGTGGTGGCGCTTGCCTGTCATCCCAATACTTTGGAAGGCCAAGGAGGGTGGATCATCTGGTGCCAGGAGTTCAAAACCAGGCTGGCCAACATGGTGAAAGCCTGTCTCTACTAAAAATTCAAAAATTAGCTGGGCGTGGTGGCATACTTCAGTAGTCCCAGCTACTCAGGAGGCGGAGGCAGGGAATTGCTTGAACCTGGGAGGTGGAGAGGTTGCAGTGAGCTGAGATTGTGCCTTCGCACTCCATCCTGGGCAACAGAGCAAGATCTGTCTCAAAAAAAAAAGTAGTCCAATTCTAGTCCGATTCATAGGGACAGAAAGTAGTATGGCAGTTCCAGGAGCTGGGAGGAGGGGACAGGATGCTTGTGTTTAATGGGTACAGAGTTTCAGGTTTGCAAGGTGGCATTTTACAGAGGTTTGGTGGTGACAGCTGTACAACAATGTGACTGTACTTCATGCCACAAAACCGTACAGTTAAAATGGTTAATTAGCTAAATTTTATGCTACGTATATTTTGCTGCAATTAAAAAATTTTAAGTGAGGCATCTATGAGGACAAGTGAGAAAATATTCAAGATATAAAGATAATAAAATCAAGAGCAAGAACGGTCTATAAGGTCTGTTTCCTTCTGCTGAAATATACTAAAATGTTCAACAGAAGATCCCAGGATAGGAAAGACATGAAATTCTAGAATGGATCATCAGGTACGATGGATTTACAAAAAAGGTGGTCAAGGCTCTGCCTCCGCAGCCTTCACCTCTCACTGACAGTGGGAAATTAAAGGGCTTGGTGCTTGCGGAGGAGCTTATGCAGGAGGAGCTTCTGCAGGAGGAGCGCCAGCTCCAGCTAGGAGACCTCACCCAGAGGGGACCACTCCTCACCTCCAGATGCTGGGCAGGGGATCTGGAAGGGTTTGGGGATCAGATGTGGGCTGGGGTGGGGGTAGCTTGCAGGGGTCAGCTTGGGTCTTGTCCTCTAGGGCCTTTTGGAGGGTGGAGTGGTCTTAGCAAGAAGCTGGAGTTGGATCTCAGGGCCAAGGAAGGACTTGCAACATACCTCCAGAAGGAGAGGTACGTCCCCCCAGGGTAAAGAGGGAGGGGCCTTGCAGCAATGGCCATCTGTGGGACATCTGTGACACTGTCAGCTCAAAGCTAGCAGGATGGCGGCAGCTCAAGCGAGACCCTTTCTCTCCCCTTGCTATCTCCACAGCCCCCACCTGTGGGGGAGGGGAGGAGGGCTAGAGAAAGAACTCCCCAGCCACCACCCCAGAACAGGCCTGAGCTGGACAAGGGGAGAAGGTTTAAACCCAAATCCAACTGGGAGTTTGGATTAATAGCTCGACTGGACTTTTTAAATTTGAGTTGAGATCATGTTTGTGACTTAAAATGGTGGTAGAACTGTCTTATGTCAGAATTGGGGCTGGACACAGTGGTTCACACCTGTAATCCCAGCACTTTGGAAGGACAAGGCTGGCAGATCACTTGAAGTCAGGAGTTCGAGACCAGCCTGGCCAACATGGCAAAACCTGCTTCTACTAAAAATACAAAAACTGGGCATGTTGTCATGGGCCTGTAGTCCAAGCTACTTGGGAGGGTAGGGCAGGAGAATCGCTTGAACCTGGGAGGTTGAGGTTGCAATGAGCAAGAGATCATGCCGCTGCACTCCAGCCTGGATGACAGTGAATGAGACACCGTCTCAAAAAAAAAAAAAAAAAAAAAAAAAGAAAGAAAGAAAAAGAAAAGAAAAAGAAAAAAGGGTTGGTCCCACTCCCTGGGTTCCTGGCCTGGGCTTGTCTTGTGGTAGAGGAGGCCAGCGGTGGGGCAGGGGGAGTGGGGAGCAGTGGGTGTGTGGGGAGAGAGAGAGAAGGAGAGAGAGAGAGAGAGAGAGAGACGGGGAATCTGCAAGGACTGCATGTCTTCTTGAGGTTCAGTCTCAGAACTAGCACAAGGTCACTTCCACCATACTCAATGGACCAATGAGAGTCCCAGGGCCAACCCCCATTGGAGGGAACGAAGGCAAAGTCACATCACAAGGGGGTGTGGAAAGATCGTGGTGCAGAATCAGGCCTACGTCCATCATCAGTCCACGGAGGGACTTTTCCTCGCAAGCAGGCTGGAAATGCAGACTCACCGCTTGTCCAGGCAGAAGAGGGGATGAGTTGAGGGAAGAGCTTGCCAGTCCCCAGCCTTTGCCCAGCCCCACTCTTGCACATTTACGCACACATCTACTGTGTGCTTAGCCCAGCAGGGCAGATTAGAGAGAGCCAGGGCATCAGGATAGAGATGCTGATTCCCCAACTGGGTGACTATCACTTCTGGTCTCATGACCTCCATGTTCTCATCTGTAAAATGGGGATAAACATCCTCATCATCTCTCCTGCCATTGGTATGGCAGCGATAAAAACACTTTGTCAATTTATGAAAGTCGTCAGACCACGTGGATGATGCTGTCTCTGCCCTCAAAGATGTTAAATCAAGAAAATGAGAATTCAAGACACGTCCCCAGATCTGGTGAGACCGTAGGGGTTGAGGTAACGAGAGGGAAGAGAGATCAGAGAGCTGTTGTCCGGGGAGAGCCCTGTGGCCAGGCTTGATAGACGCTGAACAGAATCGGGAAAGATGGAGGAGACGGGGCCTGGCAGGGTGTGGAAACGGCATACGCAGTGGTGTGGGGGCTGGACACATGTGACATATGGCAGGGTCCCCTTCCCCATGATTCAAAGCAGAAATTCTCAAAGAGTTTGATGTAGGCTGGGCTGGGAGCTGACCACACTTGCGTGCCTGTTCCTTGGCAGGATGAGTTTGAAAAAGAAAAAATATAATAATGAAAAATTGAAAACAGATTATTGGGGAGAAAAGAATCCCAGGCGCTAGACGGCTGTCTCCACAGCCTCTGGCTCCTGTCCCACCCATTCCCCAGC